CCTCCATATATATATATATATATATATATATATATATTAAAGCATTCCTTAAGACAAGCTGTTATAATAAAAAAAAAATCATGATTATAATTATTGTAATCATTATTTACATATCAGAAATTTAATATAAAAAGAATAAAATTAGATTTTAGGCTTGATACATAATCAACAGATTCTATCATTCGACATGAATCTCGAGACATTTTTTGGGCAATAAAATTTCAAATCTAAATTAAAAATCATCTAAGACTTTGATTTCAACTAACTTATAATTAAATTGACTCGCTCGAGGAGAAAATTCAACGAACTTAAGATCACTCAATTCTGATATCATTAAGTCACTCAATTGTCTTTAAAATTTCATTCAATTAAGAGAATTGTTCTAGGTCATCCGATAGAGTGGTATGGATTAATGTCTTGTTTATTGAAGAGAACACTCCCAGAATCTATAAATAGAGCTCTATTTTCTTCATGAAAGGGGGAAGCAGACCAGGAGCTAGAGTCGTACATTGAGGGGGAGGAAAAGACAGAGTCAAATGTGAGTGGTTCCATATTTTAAAGCAGATGGGGTGGCTCAAAAAGGAGATGCAGAAGATCAAGCATGGTCATCAATGATCATTTCTAGATGAGTAGTGGCGAAGAGAGCAGTTCACCAAAACTATCGACAAAAGATGTCAAGAGGAAGTACTGTAGGACGATAATCAGTCTTTAGAACGATGGATCTGTAGCACTCCTTTGGACCATATATCAACCAAACCAAGTTTTGTCAGACGATCGAATTAGCCTCAGGCTTCCCCCCCCCACCCCTCCCCGAAAAACTAATAATTATGGGATTAATATGTACGTTTGTAATATTTTGACCTAAACCTATAAATAAGGGTCCATAGTATGAATAATACACATTTTGCTTGTCAACTACTACTCTCTCTTTATCTTAATCAATTTCTAGCAAAAGTTTTTGATTCTTTATGTGCGTTGGATTGAACAATATATATTATTTTCAAGTTATATCTACGAGATATTTGGTTGGTTGAATTTATAGTGCAGTGTGAATAAAATGCATGAATTTTCAAAGTTGCTATGTTTGTTAGTTTGTTAGATGAAAATCTAACGCATTGTATAAATTTCACATTGCATTTCAAAACCAATGTATTTCATCATATTTGACCGCCATCGCCTTGGTTAAACCTTCGCCAAACACCTTTAGAAATCTCCAACAGGACACCATCAACCTCTGGCTATGAGCTATATTAATTTCATTTTCTTTTAATGGCCTATGAGCATATTTTATTTATTTTGTTTGCAAATGGAATAGAAATCAAAGTGTTCAGCATTGTAAAATTACAATACACTTGTAATTCGCTCTCTATTTCAAGTTCATTTTATGCAAATTTTTTCACAAATCTTCCTGCCTGTTCGTCCCCCAAATATGAAAAATAACTATTGTATTTATTTCATAGCAACATTCTTAATTCGAGTCATATTGATTATTATTTACAATATGATTGTAATCAAGATTTTTTAAAATATAGGGCCCATTTTAGGCAGCTTATTTGGTGTGGTGGCGTTTTAAAAAGTCATCTGGCTTGTTTGATTAAACTATGAGCCCGTTTGGGGCAACTTATAAGTGCGGCGATGTTTTTGAAAACGCCGCCATACCGTTTGTTTTGCGCGTTTGCGCAACTTATTTGAAAATCACGTTTCGGGTATTGACCCGCGATCAGCGTTTCGAACGCCCGATTGGGGCAACATTTACGCGCCTACCCCCCCTCTGATTGGGGCAACATTTACCCGCAACAATTACTCTGCCTCCGCCGAAGGAAGCTTCGCTCTGCCTTCGCTGAAGCTCCGGTCTGCCTCCGCTCCGCCGAAGCTCCGGTCTTCCTCCGCCGAAGCTACGGTCTGCCTCCGCCAAAGCTCTGCTCTGCTGCCTCTACCGAAGGAAGCATCGCTCTTTTAAAGTTTTTATTTTACGGTATGCCTCCGCCAAAACAGGGGTAGAATGATAATTTCTCCAGAATCAGTTGTTTTTCAAACGCACAAACCAAACAGTTAGACAGCTTATCCGGATCAGCTGTTCATCAATAAATTATCAGAATAAGCTGCTTATCAGCAAGAGTTGAATAAGCTTCAACTGCCCCCAAATAAATTTTATGTTTTGACAACTTATACATTACGCTGAAAATAATTTTCTGACTGAGGTCAGATTTTTCTGAGCTTATCAATACTTCTACAATTACATTGCACACTGTAACCCTATGGCGCCATGGCTTCTTGGGCATTTTAGACAAGTACCGTCGTCAAATTTTTAGTGTAGTCTGGACTTCTTCGGGTGCTCACTCCTTGCCGATAAGGTCCGCGACGGGAAAGCCAAGCTAAGGATGGCGGCAGCGGCGGCGGCGAAGGGCGGTGCTCGCCTCCTATCGGCTCCGGTCTTATCTGTTAGCCGACGAATTTGCTCTCCTCGTTCCAATATCAGTTCTCTCGTCACCGGTAGCAAGGCTAGCTTCCATCGCTGCATTTCCATGTTTACTCCTGGTCGCTCCCTGTACTCCTTCTCTCCGGCAGTGGGTGCTGGAGAACCACCTTCAACGACCGTGGTGGCAGAATCCAATGCCGGAGCTCCGAGTCTTACGCCTGATGAATTGGTGAAGGAAGCGGCTGATGTGCTTGACATACGCGTGGGTCGAATCATTAGGGCATTTAGGCATCCTGAAGCTGATTCCCTTTACGTCGAGGAGGTGGATGTGGGTGAGGCTGAGCCTCGCATTATATGCAGCGGGCTTGTGAATTATGTTCCGCTGGATCATCTTCAGGTCCGCAACTTTTCACTGATTTCTCTTAGAATCAATCAATTCGTGCTGCTACAATCCCAATTTTATTCCGTATAACTTATTTCATCTAGAATGTAGAATAATAGAGATGAACGAGCATAACTGGTAGAGTTAGAGCAATCGACGGGGTCTGCTGTTAAGAATATTGGAAGAGTGCACTTATGGAGTTCTTGAAGGAAAACGATATTGAAATGCTCAGTAAAGATCGCACTTTTTGTTGTCATCTATTAGAGTGATAAGAGCGCAAATCAGCAAACATAATGGAATCTCAAAAGCCGTCACCAAATGCAGCCATCACCTGTACTCATTCCATGATCATTGCTCAGCTGAAACCACACGCTTAATCACAACCATTCACTTAAAAATCTTTTGGAGTCGTTACCTCTCTCTTCAAACGGAGATACAGCTTCTACTGTTTAATTTAATGAAATGAATTTGCTTAAACTTAGCCTTCTTCATCTCTCTTGATTATTTCACATTAATCGTTCTCTTCTCTTCCAATGCGTTGAGAATCAAATACTATTAGCATGCTATTTGATCAAACTGGCCGTGACACCACCTTCTATCCAACATCCGGTAATCACTCTATCTCTCAACAACGCCCTCAGGGATCTGGCTGCAACCACCATAACATATGACTCAAACAAAGAAGATCAAACCCTGCTAAAATGGGAGAAACTTCCATCTCCTCCCAACTAAAGTTCTGGGAGTCTAAAGTCATACTCATTCAACTCACAGCTAAATATTACTCATCTTGGAAGTCGAAGCCTCTCAAGCTTCTCAAGCTGATGGATTTGATGGCTACCTTGATGGCTCAATACCTTGCCCTACTAAACTTACACTAATTGGCAAAGGAACACTCATCCCTACGTCTCACTTTAACTTTTGGTTGCTCATTGAACATAACCTTGCCTCATCAGTTTACTCCACTATATCCTCCTCCATTCTATCTTCCATTCTTAACCATGCTTTTTGCATAGATATTGGACGACCATAGATCAATGTGTACTGTCTATTAATCATTTTTCTTTTCATCTCAATGAATAATCAATCTATAACTCGATACCTATTAGAATTCAAACCTATGGCGGATGTTATTGTAGCAGCAAGAGCATCTATTGATTCGGATGGCATCATACTCTACACCTTTAATGGTCTTTCAGGAAGTTATTAAACATTCAAGATAGACATTTTGACAAAAGTTACAAATAGTGAACTTTGTCTAACCATACTCTTTACCATGTAAAAGAGAAGCTTGCCATGCAACAATCTAACTCAGTTAGGGCTACTCATCACCATGGGAAATGCCATGGCTATCCCATCAAAAAATTGACTCAATGCCCTAATTCAACTTGAACCACTTGAAAAATTCAGGTTTGGGCTGACCTTATTAATTTTTGGGTAAGTTCGGATAAAAAATTCCAACTTGTTTAATTTTTTGGGATGAATTTGTGTTGAACCACTAACTCAAAATTGGCCTACCAACTTAAAATTTACCCGAAATTGGTCCGTCAACTTAAAATTAACCCAAATTTGATGTGCCAATCCAAATTTGAAATGAACGTGACTTGAAATTGATCTCAATTTGACCAAAATAGTTGTTGTGCATATATTAAAAGAGTTATGAAAGTCAAACTCGGGTCAGTTGGGTTGAACTAGGGTTGGATCCAAGTTTGACTTTTGAAGCCGTTTAATATTTTGGTTGTATTGGGGTCAATTCTGGGTCAGACCGAACTTGACCTGTATACCCATTTTGACACCCCACTTCCAAGCAAAGGCCTTCACACCTATAGCAGAGGTAGGCTCTCTTCTACACCTTATACGGAGGCAAATCCACCTATCCACCTGTCTAATGCTAGATTCGAGGCAAAATTGGTAATTCACTGTTAAGTAATGACATTCCTCTAAGCTTATTTATCATACGACCAATTCGAATGCTTAAATTGTTTTTGTTGGACCTCCCAATTGCGTTGTTGAATGACATCTGGATGCAGTGCTACATCATCCCTAACCACTTGCTCAACTCAGCTATCCAATCCAAATTTATGCCACTACACTAACCACTTGCTCAACTCAGCTATCCAATCCAAATTTATGTCACTACAACCAACAAGTGTCTCTTGCTAATGATCATACTGTCCTTATCTCTCACATCGGCCAAGGCTATCTTCCCAAACTCATAAATTACTCGTCCCATATTTTTATGATGCTCCCAATTTTTCTTAAACCTTCCATTTGTTCACAAACTTGCAACTAACAACACTTCCCCCATCTCATTTGATGGCTATGTTCACAACATTAAGGACCTGAAGGTCATTCAAACTCCTTTTAAATGCGGGCACAATCTCATTTTTATTAAAGCATGAATATGCGATATGAATAATAAATGGCGTGATTTATCATAAACTAGAGTATCATTATTTTTTTTTATAGTAGTGAAAAAATATCATGTTTATGTGATTTACTGGCCTAGTATGGCACACCTTTTCTAACTAATATCTTTGAAAAAAAAAAATTATGGATCTTTATTAGTGTTTATTGGTATGGCACCTATTTTTTGTTGTAGTTTTTTGGTGATAAATTTCATGATTCAGCTATAATTTGAAGCCTTTTTTTTTTACCATAGCTTAAAGAGCTTATATTCTAGAAAATTGTTATATATGTTTTAATTTTACATGCACGCTGACTTAACTAAATTTATTGGGAATGTATATAGTCTTTTATTGAGGACTGAGGAGACATAAATGCACCATATGCAGGACATTAGAGTAGTTGTGCTGGCCAATCTGAAACCCAGGAACATGCGTGGCGTTAAGTCTAATGGAATGCTAATGGCTGCTTCTGATGCAGCTCATGTGACTATAGAGCTTCTTTTACCGCCTGAAGATTCAGTCCCTGGTGAAAGAGTCTGGTTTGGTTCAGAAGAGGACAAGGACAAACAACCAAATGCTGCTACACCTAATCAGGTCTTATTCTTTAAATCATTAAATTTTTTATTTTATTTTATCCCTATCTCATAAGGACTCTTATTCTCAATGTGATGTCCATAAAATCCGACTAGCGATAATATTTTTTTTCAAGATTTTTTTATGGGGCATTTACGTACATAGCACACAATTCCTATGTATTTACACATATCACACCTAAACTTTCATACATAAACTCAATTCTTTAATTTTACATAAAAAATAGTAGTATTATCAATTTTTAAAGGTGAAATACACCTTTTCATGCATAATATTGAAGCACCAAAGCACTATGTATGTAAATATGAAAGTTTTGGTGTGAGATATGTAAATACCTAATAATTTTTGTGCTACGAATGTGAAAGTCTTAATGTATTAGAAGCTGAAACCTTTGTTTTGTTATAACTACATTGCCCTGTTCTCTATATAGTTTTATAGGTATGTTGGATGTGAGTTTACTTGTCAGTTATGCCATTGAACTGTATTGTATGTAGCAATTGGAAATCATCCATGTAAGTCATCGATTTCATTTCCATATAATTATTACAATTTTATATTTTTATTTTGTTATGATATTTTACCATAACATGCCTTTTCTCCGATCATATTGAGTCAACCTTTTAGCTGATTTGAGTTAAGGGCCCGTTTGGGGCAGCTTATAACTGCGGCGGCGTTTTGAAAAATGTCGCCGTAGCGTTTGTTTCGCGCGTTTCACAAACATATCTAAAAAAGGCGTTTTGCATTTGTGAAAGACGCCGCCCGCGGGAGGGTGTCCGCGATTCGCGTTTGGTTCACGTCCAATTACTCCGCTGCCCTCGTTCGTTCCCATATCCCTTCCCCTCGTTCGTTCGCATCCTCTGCCTATCCGCTCCCCCCCTCTTCTTCTTAGGTAGCCGCTCCTCCCTCTTCTTCGGCAATCGACAGACCTCTTCATTCGGCTTCTTCCTCGACATTTTCGTTCGTATCTTTTTTTTTTTTTCTCTACACTACCGAAGAATAGTAATTGGCATTTCTTCTTCGGATTTTCTTCTTCTACATCCCTCGTTCGTATCTTCTTCGGCATTCTCGTTCTTTCGCATCCTTTGTCATAGGTCTGTCCTAGCTCGCAACTCTCTGCTTCCGTTCCTCGGAATTCTCGGCTCCCTGCTTCCTATCGGCATCACGCTCTTTTTCGCCAAGCATTCCCAGCAGGTATAAGCTCTTCCGTGCCCTCTTCTTCGCAACTCCACAGGCTTTTTAACAGCCATTTCTTCTTCTTTTTCTTCCTCTTCTTCACACCTCGACAGACATTTCTACGGCTTATTTCTCTTCTTCGTCTGCAATTCTTCCTCATTTTCTTCTGCATTTCTTCTTCTTTGGTACTTACATTATTCTATTACATGGTGGAGAACGAAATCAGATAACCACATTTGCAATTACTTCTTCTTTGGTTGTGAAGGAATTAAAAAAATTGGGCTGCATAACTCTCATATGTTCTAGCCTCGTTAGGAAGGAATTAAAGGAATTAAAATTTGATGATTTCCTTTGAATAGACCAGGGCATGATGCCTGGATTGTGGGAAGCCAAAATAAAATTACTGAAATTTATAGACATAGCACTAAACTCTTGTGCATTTACTTTTTACTTATCGCGCATCTAAATTTTAATTTTTACAGTGCAAAAACCTAACCTATGTATGAAAAGATGAATTACATTTCACATTTTTATACATCAGAAAAAATGCATTATGCGAAAAAAATAAAGTTTAGTTGTGAGATAAATAAATGCACCAGAATTGGATGATGTATGTAAATTCCTCATAAAATTAAGGGTTTTTACATATTGAGCACACACTTTTCACATTAATATTCCTTATTTCACAAATAAAATGTGCGGTTATACGGTTACAAATTCTTAAAGCTTCCATAGTCTAGCTGCCCAAAAACAATCTCTTTCGTCACTATCCTGGTTTCCTCCTATCTTTCTCCTTTCTCACTCTCCTGGTTTCACCCAATACCAGCGTTGAGAAGCAATCACAATTAGAGCTAGCTTGGAAGGCAATGTTGGGATTGCAGATGACGAAACCTCTGAAACTTTCTTCTTTCTCTTCCTTCTGTTTGCTTTTACGAGAGACCATTGAAAAAAGTAATTTCATCCACTTTTACAAGAGACCATTGAGAGAGGCAAACGATGTCTTTCTCCCCTTCATCAACCCCTTCACACGCTTTAGATTCCCTAAATTTTGTAAATCTCTAAACTTTTTGAGTTATATAATGTAATTCAACTCTTTTGCATTTTAATGTCTTTATATTTGAGAAAATTACAAACTGCGTGATAGATTATTCATTCAACTAAAAAAATATGCAAATAAGCTGTTTACAAAACACACAAATCAAACAGCTAAATAACTTATCCAGAATATGAGTAGAATGATCATTTATCCAGAATCAGCTGTTTTCCAAACGCACAAACCAAACAGCTAGTCAGATTATCAGGATAAGCTGTTCATCAGCCGATTATCAGGATAAACTGTTTATCAGCAGAAACTAAATAAGCTGCAGCTGCCCCAAACAGACCTTAAGTCCACTAATGGGAATCAAAATTTTGTGCTTTGATTCTTACTATCAGTTTTCATTTAATAATTTCGCTGATTTCAATTTTAGTTATCTGAAGTATGCTTATGGTGATGATCCATATAAAGAATTGATCGTGTTTTCTGATGTCTATAATTGTCTTTAATTTCTCTCTTGGGCTATTTGAGCTCTTCGGTCCCTAATGTTGGTGTGGTTCTTATTTTATTCAATCATTGGCTTTACGTATGTTGACATCATTTTTAGTGATGTCTTAGTTTCTACTCCCAGAACCCAAAATTTAGCCCTAGGAGTTTCTTGTTGACCATATTAGCAGACTAGTAATGGAGCCCACTTCCCGTAGAACTTCCAACCACTTCTTGATTCATTCTTGTGAAGAACTCGCATGAGTGGTTCCAAGTACTCAACTTCTAGTTGTAAGGGCTAGGACCAACATGTAGAGGGCCCGAAAATGAGTTCCTACAGGATCAGACTGTCTTAGATGAACCCTCCATGACGAACACTCGCAAACACCGCACTTCACACACTTGCTACACCACGCCAGAGGCTGACACATTTTTTGCCCGATTGTTGGCAAACTCACCCGGACAACCCTGGATGACGAAACGGACCGCACCGACGCGTCCGAAACGTCAACAAACGTCAACTTTAGCTAGAAAGAGCTAGAAAGGACACCCATATTGCTAGGGTTCCACGCATAAGTAAATGACACAAAAATCGATGCACTTTTTTTTTAGCTAGACGCGGGCTCGGGCTTATCCCAGGCTCGACTCAGGCTCGATTCGGGCTAATCTCCATCTCACAAAATTTCAAATTTTGAATTTCAAAATTCAAAGGGTGCATTTAAAACTCATATTAATTAATTTTAATTGAAAATAATCTGCTTTTATGCTTTTCCAATTGAGCCGCATACAATAAAGGAAGGTATTTAATTTCCCGCTAAAGCTTTCACATAACGGCTCCCTCTCAAATCTTCGGCTGGCTATAGTAATTGGCCTTCGGAGAGGATTCCTGATTCGATCATCCTCCGCTCCGCTCGCTCCCGCTCCTGTCTTTTTTTCGTGCGATTAGCTCCTTCGTCCTCCCGCTTTCTGCTCGATCCCGTCTCCCGCACCGAAGCCGCAAACTCGTCTCTGCTCTCTGCTCTCGATCTCGTCTCCCGCACCGAAGCCGCAGACCCCGTTTCCGGTTTCCGCTCTCTGGTCGATCCCGTCTCCCGCATCGAAGCCGCAGGCCCCGTCTCCTCTCTGTGCCGAAGAACCCCTCTCTCCCGTTCGACTCCTCCTTCCTCCTCACTGCATCCGACGCCTCCTTCCCCAATACAATTCGAAGAACCCTTTTCTCCCGGTTCACCTCTTCCTCATTCCTCAAAACCCGAGGTCATCGTATTCCCGGAAGCTTCTTCACATCCGAAACGTACCAAAAATAATTTTGGAGGCACCAGATACCTTGATTTTGAAAGGCTTACCTTTGGGCTCATTCAAGTATTCTGAATATGCATATTCATTTCACATTTCCCTCATCTCCAGTGACTGTTTATTCTAATTAAATTGCTTGGACAGCATGAACTAAAGTTGCATGTGATTTTCATTTTATTTTTCTAAATGGAAATTGATAGGTTTTATATTGCACATGTCTCTGAACTATAAAACAAATTGGCTACTTGATATGATTTCCAATTTTTGTGTAAACACTTGATTAAATCAGCTAAATCATTATTATTTCAAATCATTTTGTAGACACATTTTGATTGACAATCTTTAATATGCAAATCCTTCTATTGCCTTTTACTTTATTTCAAATATGTACTGTTATGAGTGTTTACGGTTAAATTTACTTTGCTTCATCTGTTGATCAGCAATTCCATTATTAGGAGGATATTCAAATCACTTAGAATGGTCTTATACCTGCATAAACACTTCATGCCGAAACAAAACAAAACCAAACTTTGACACCAAAACTGGGAAACACAAATCACCAATCTCAAACACTTAAACCCTGAAGCCGTCGCTACAACAGGAGCTTGGAGCCAACTTTGTGGGCGGCACGACGAGGAGCATGGAGCGAGCGACAAGAGGTTCTTCTTCAGCATTATCTCTTCCTAGCATAATAACAACTCATAGGACTTCGAGGCAGTTTGCCCAACGCGACGTAAATCTTCACTCTCTCTCTTTAGGCCCCTGTACAACCATGTTGTGCAGCGTAAGTCCTAACCCGCCTTAGGTTCCGAGGTTGTCGTGTGACACGACGTAAACTCTCTTATCTGTGCGGGCTGTTTACATAATCAAGTATTATGCAAATGTAAGTCCCAAATAATAAAATTGGCAAGATTGAATAATTGAATAACATTATTTCTAAAATGCAGTCACACAGTAGGATAGTTTGACAAGTCACTAAGGGTTCTCCTCAGGATCTGTGACATTCTCTATCTTTTTCTTCCTTTGGACCCTTGAAAATAATTGTTCCTATTTGAACCACTCACACTTGTCTTTTCCACATCCTACCATGAAAACCTAAACTTTGAAATCTTGAAGACTAGTATCTCTGCTCATTATCGAGAGTTTTCTCAAGTGACTTTAGTCATTTGAGATGTAATTAACTATAGGGGCTTGCCTCTATAGGGAACTTGGAACTCAGGTAAAATAAACCCTATTTAATTTTTGTATTCGATAGGGAAACTTGTCGATCATACATAAAAGATTCGCAGACCAAACAGATGTCCCAAATCTCTTAGTTTGTAGGGTTGGGTCTTCGCCGAGGTCTACACTTATCTTTCGAAAGGTGTAGTATTCACAATATCAGACATGATTATGCAAACTATTGGACGAATGAAATCCATTTGGTCTCATTTGGTCTCATTTTTCAAAAAATTAAAACATACTACTTTCAAAACCAAAACTATATACCTCTTATATTAAATTAAATTTTAAAAAATTATTTTCATATTTTCAAATCAAGGAAAAGTTGACCGACAACGTGACATGGTTTGTAGTTTTGGTAAGTGCGCCAAATTGCAACTTCTTAAGACACCTTAAGGAGAATTTTAAGAAAACATTGTGTAACATGGATTTGAAGGCAGTTTAAATGATTTGCGCTTGAGATGACCGTTAATGCACTCTAAACCCTAATGTATTTTAATAAAATTTTTAGATTTGTTCATGGTTTAGTAATGCAAGCTTTAGTTTGCTCAATATTTATCATATTGTTGTCACTTTTTATAAAGCAATTTGCAAATGCTCAACAAGTACTAATGTTGAATGAGTTAATTCTGTCAATAAATTTTTTTCCCTCCAATGATATGAGTGTGAGGCATATTGTTTTATAGCGCCAACCCATGTCAAACTCACATGAATCTATAGGTAGTTGTTGCTTCTTTCAAATTTTTCAGTGCGTATTTGCATAGTAATGGCAACTGGGTTTCATTTGCCTTTAATATGTCATCTGTTTTGTCCGCATATTATTGCAGCGCTTGGAATGAATTATAGTTAGTGTCTAACTCTATAATATTTTTTGAAAATATGCGGTTTCAATAATTTTTAGGGGTATTTAGATGCTCACGTGCGCACAAATATATACATACAGACACACACACACATATATATACATATATATTTATATTGTCAAAAGAATGGTCGGAGGCTATGATACAAGTCCCCAGCCACTCTCATGTGCATTGCCACTCGATCCCGCACTGCAAGACAGATGCACTCAGGAGGGCTCGAACATTTGATCTCATGGGACTCACGATGGACAACACATCTGCCAACCAAAGAGTCACGGCGCGCGGCACATACATACTTACATACATACATAGATATATAGATATATAGATATATAACACTCAAAACATTAGGACTCCATTAGCAAATGTAGTCTAATGCTTAATTGATGAGGCTGACTAGAGGTCAGGTGAAGAGGCCTACCACTATCAGGAAGAGACAATCTAAGATTAGATGAAAAACTAATTAGGATTAGAAGAGGGAGACCAACTTTTTACGAAGATGCCAATTAGGATCAGAAAGAGGACAGTTATGACCGAGGATCATAAAGAGGCTGATTATGATTAGGCAAAGATGATGACCATGATCATGATGAGGATGGCTAGGATTAACGATTATAAAGAGGCCAACTATGACTAGGCTAAGAGGCCAACTAGTATTAAGAAAAAACTAATTGAAAAAGTGTATTTTACCTTTTAACAGTTAAAATAGTTATATTTTTGATGTGATATGAAAGACATGGCTGGTATAAATGTAATAAGTAAAATTTATGTGTTAGATATGTAAATACGCAGGAATTGGCTGGCGTCTGGTATGTATGTAAATGCCCCCCTTTTTGTAGAGAAAAAAAAATAATACTTGCAACAGCTTTCAAAAAAAACATGATTTTCTTATAGCCGTTCTACAAGAGCTTTCAGTCATCCCAGATGAACTCTAAATTGAACACACGACAATATCTAACATTACAAAAACAATACTAAATAATCTATAAATTATTTTGACTATTTTTTCTTATTAATCAATCGAATTCACTGTTCCTAAAGCTTTAAGATCACTGATGTAATTTCTGTTCCAGATTCAAAAGAAAAAGATATGGGAATTGGTCCAGCCTCATCTCAAAACAACAGAAGATTGTGTGGCTGTTTTGGGAGCTCATCCCATGAGGACTTCTGCTGGGATGATTACTTGCAGATCTCTGAAGAATGCAAACATTTCCTGATCGGATCTACCTCGCTGTTAAAATGCAACTTTATACTATAATCTAAAGAACGGATGATGCTGGTGAGTATTTGTTTTTTGGGCCAATTATATACAGACCACCCGAAACTTGCTATTTACAAATCAACCACCCCTCTTTCATTCATTTTTCAAATTTTCACTCAAATATCAAAATTCTTGGTAAAACCCCAACCCATACTTTTCATTTTTATCAAATTTTCAATAGTTTGATTATGGCACGCATAAATACATCGGTTTGACAGTTTCAAAAATCACCTTGGCGGTTAATTTGTAAATATTAATGTTTTAGGTGATCTATATGTATTTATTCCTTTTTTGCATTATGAATTTGGAAAAAAATTGTCTTTGGGTCTGATTAGGGCAGCAGCCGCTTAATAAAAAACAACTATGAAGCTGCTGAAAAATAATCAGATGTTCAAAAAACTGCGGTGACTATTATTATTATTATTATTTTTTTTTTTTTGAAATAGTTAGACCGCACATAGAAAGCTGTCACCGCACCTAGTCATGATTGGTGGGAAAATGCAGATTTAAGCGGCAGTTTTTTGAAAAGGCTGTCAAAACCCAGTTTACCCAAACAAACAAAACCACGCACCGCTGCCCCAAACGAACCTTTTATTCTATCCTGACATCTTAGGGTGCGTTTGGGACAGCTTATAGGTGTGGCGGCATTTTGAAAACGCCGCCTTCGTGTTTATTTCTCGCGGTGGAGCCGCGTATCTGCAAATGGTGTTTTAAATTTTGTATTACTCGAGGATCGCGGGACACTCTTAGGTTTTACTCCGCTGACCCTCTTCTTTTTCGGTTCTGTTGGTTCGAAGGCTACGATCCTTTCGACGCTACGATCCTTTCTTCTTCGCCGTCGCTGCGCAGCTCCGTCGCTCCGCAGGTATATCTCCTCCCTACGCTCATCCCTCCGCACTTCCCTCTTCTCCATCATTTCTGCGCTCCTCCCTGTTTCTCCTCCCTGCGCTCCTCCCTCCACTCTTCCCTCCTCTCCCCCATATTGATGAATATCGAGCTGTTAGAGGTTGGAAGTGTTCTTAGAGACAAACTTTCCATCGTTTCGGCGCTCCTCCCTGTAAATCCATTTTTTTCGGTGAATATGGAGGGGATTTCACTATTTGGAAGTGTTCTTTGTCTCTTTCTCCTTCGGTTACATCTCTGGATTGTAGATCTGTGATTTTAACTTTTTTTTTTTAACATCATATGCTTGATCTATGGTTTTAGTGGATGTGGGGGATTTCCTTTTGTTGCTTTGGCTATGAAAAATTTGAATGTGGGGGATCTCGTCACGTTACAGTTTCTATGTATATTGTGCTCCTTTGCAATGTGTGAAAAATATGTGGGGGATCTCTTCACGTTACAGTTTCTATGTATATTGTGCTTATTTGCAATGTGATCCTTTGCAATGTGTTAAAGGTTATAGATATGAGAATTTGTAATGCCCCTTTTGTTGCTTTGGCTATGAAAAATATGTAGGTATGCTCCTTTGCAATGTGTTAAAAGTGATAGATATGAGAATTTGCAATGCTCCTTTTGTTCCTTTGGCTATGAAAAATATGTGGGGGATCTCTTCACGTTACAGTTCTATGTATATTGTGCTCCTTTGCAATGTGTTAAAAGTTATAGATATGCTCCTTTGCAATGCTCCTTTCTCCTTTGCAATGCTCCTTTCCTTTGCAATGCTCCTTTTGTTGCTTTGACAATGAAAAATATGTAGGTGAGAAGGGTGGCCTATTTTGTAGATTAACTAAACCAAAACCAACCTCATTTTTGGTGACTATATAAAGTCAATAAATGACCTTCTTTGTCTTCTCATCAGTTTGGCTAAATGATTTATTGTGTGCTTGTGGAAAATGTAACCAAGTGAAGCTAATCTTTTGGAATTACATAGAATATATTAAATTCTCCATGTATGTATCAGGGAAGTCCGAGAAAGTGATATGTCGTTGCGGGCTACCGTCCTTGCTACTCACGTCACGCCAGACACATAGCTTCGGGAGGCAGTTTTACAGGTGCTCGCGATGGGGACAAGGACCGGAAAACTGCAAGTTTTTCAGGTGGACCGACAATGCAACTAATTCTACGATATCCCAATTGGACATAGCTGCTAGGAGTTGGATAGTATTACAACAGGAGAACACTGCATATGATTCGAGTTCTTCCGTTCCTACGACATACTAGTCGGACATGTTTGCTCGGGGTTTTGAGGTATCAGAACCGGGCAACATTCGACGTGATGTGCTTTTACATTTTAAAGTCAATATTATCATATTTTTCCTTGTAATTTTAATATGTTTTTTTTTAGTCATATTATAATTCATATTAGTGTGTGAATGTGTACTTCACTTTCGTATGTGTCACTGTGCTTATTTGATGTAATCAAAACTTTTTGAGTTATATAAATGTGAGCAAAACTTTTTGAGTTATATAAATGTTATTCAACTCTTTTGCATTTTCATGTTGTGACATTTGATAAAATAACTATTTCTGCATTATAGAGTACTCATTCAACTAAAAAAATCTGTGAATAAGCTGTTTACAAAACGCACAAAACAAACAGCTAAACAACTTATCCAGAACAGGGGCAGAGTGGTCATTTATCCAGAATAAGTTGTTTTCTAAACGCACAAACCAAACAACCAGCCAGCTTATTCGGATCAGCTGCTCATCAACAGATTATCAAAATCAGTTGCTTATAAGCAGAAGTTGGATAAGCTGCAGCTGCCCCAAACAGACCCTTAATCTATGATTAGTCACTTCTCTTTATCTGTCAAGTAAATTTATTGAAACTGTAAATAAATGCACTGAAGCCAACTTTAATATTTTTGGATGATTGTTTAGATCTATGACAATGTGATGACAAGATTAATAATTTTGAACAACTACTCGTAGAAGATTAGGCTGCTGTTTTTTTTTAATTATTATTCTTTTTTATTAGGCTGTTGTTAATTTGAGATGACAATATTAATAATTTACAACAACTTCAATAAAAAATTCTAGCAGGCTTTATATCACCATCATATTGGAAGGATTGTAGTCGTTGCACTCTGATATGTTGAAAACAACTTGCTTTTGATAGATACTAGAAGTTTGGATGTCTTTCATAGCCAGTCTGTAGAAAATGTGATGCTATATTCAGTCATATGGTACAATCTTTAGACAGTATGTTATTACAGGGTTTGTTGGCCTTTTCAGCATGATATGGATAATATCAATTTCTTTTATGCTTTTGATATGAAACATTGCAGTAATGTTAGTATTTTACAGACGATTTTCATTGTTGCTCGACCAAATGAAATTGAAGTGTAATGTCTGTGCCACAACACATTCTTAGAACCTTGAACATGTGGCACTATCATATTAAAAAATTAAAATCTTCTTTCATGTTTTCTTTAATCTATCTGTTCATTCGTGTGGGATCTTCGTGTAAAGCTAGGATGTAAAATTCTCTCAACTGTCGTGAATATTCTAGCATGCAAGAAAATTGGTTGTCCCCAAATAAACAAAATATGAAATGAAAAATTGTACATGTTCTTAGAAAATGCAACTAAATCTATGTTATTATTAAAAAATTACTCGTGGTTTTATTCAAATAAGAATACCAACAGCTAATTTTGAAAAGTAATCTTAGCAATTTGTTTAAATTGGGGTGAGATTTGGAGATTGTTTAGAAATTAGGGCGAAGAAAACCAAGAATCCACACAAATCCAGAAGAACACAGAGATTTATGAAGTTCGACAAAGATGCCTACATTCTCGGAGCAGAGCGACGACTTCCTTTACAATATTCAGAAAAGAGCACAAAATACTATATTCAGAATCTCGGGGTCTTAGAGACTCCCTTAGGGTTACAAACATGACATATATATATAACCATATAGTACAATATGTAATTACTTAAATTACCTATATACCAAACCGCGGGGTGTTGCCCCCGCACCCCCAACTCACTTAATGAAACTCCCCTGATTGGACAGATCCTTCCGCTCCACTCTGCTCGGGGGCTCTGCTCCGCTCAAGCATCTGTCCCTTTTATGATATATGAGTCATACCTAACAAATCTCCACCTTGGTCTTTTAGGAGAAATGCATATACCTAACAAATCTTCACCTTGGTGAATATCCAACCCCTTAGGAGAAATATATCATGGAGTTTTTTATGCACCAATGTGGGTTGGGCCACCACGGTTCCGCTGCACCCTCGCTGATCCCCCCCAACCCACTAAATTCCAAGAGACAACTCTTCAATTCTAAGAGACATCTCTTCATTAAGAGACATCTCTTCATTCCATTCCAAGAGACTTCAAATTATGGTATTATGAGTCATACCTAACAGAGATTAATTCTCTTAAAAGCAAGGTTTTTCTCTGCAAAATTTTGATTTTAGAATTCAAATTGTAACCATAAAGATTAATATTTTCCAGTGAGTTAGTATTCAGGTGTATTTTACATACAAGTTAAATGAATTTAATTCGTCTGAAGTATTTTGTTATGTTTGGTTAGTTGTTGAATAGCCCTAAGAGAGTACTTTTTAATGTGCTAGATTGTTATAAACTATTTAGGCCATGACATTAGGGTTGTTAGGGTTGTGGGGCTTATCGACCACATGGGCCTTCTTCTTGGTCGCCTAAGCAGCAACCATCGCCTCTTTCTCGGCCTCCTCAGTGCCGGAGGCTTTCTAGTCCTCCTTCCTCATTCGACCAGATGCTTTCGGTTGAAGTACCCAGTTGACAGTTGTTCGATCGAGATATTGATGAACTGAAAGTTGATGCCCTTAGACATCGCCAGCTTCCACCAATACTCCCGCTTGCGCTTTCTTCTTCACTTTTGTCGGTGCGTTGCCAAATGGGACTACCTGGATGCACCACCTCCGAGGGTAATAACCCAGATAGATATGGGGCTTCCAATCAGTCACCTTATTCTCCAGCTCCAACAGCGAATTGAACGAATCCATCCAAGCCAACCCATAATGAGAACATATAACTAAAGGGCTCGACGGATCACGAAATCCTTGACTGGCGATAGAAGACAACAAAGGTCATGATAGTTGTTATAGAGTAGGGGATTATCTGATTGTGGATAACGCCATAATGGGCAAAAATGGCCTGCACTATCAGCAAAAAGATAGTCGGAGGCCAAAACAAAATTGGTCTTTGTAGAATAATAGGTCGATAGTATATAGGGAGGTAGCTCGATTGACTTCTCCAGGGACCCAAAGTTTGATAGTTGGATTGAAGACGCAAGTCTCCTGCAGACGATCCACCTCTCCTCGAGTCATCCACGATTGGTCGTTCGAAACGATCGACCCAAAAGTCCTTCGGGGAATATCACGAGCGAAGCACAAGTAGAGGACCGAGAGGAAGATACATAAGGGAAAAAAAAACATAGTAAAGTGTATAGGAAAACTGAGGAAGTTAATCCGTAGCACAAGAGTAAAAATAAAACTCTATAGTGGTTTCAAAAATGTACGGACAAAAGGATCACATCAATACATAAAATGAGAGGAAAATAAATTTTATTCTAGAAAGACCTTAAATTTTATTTTTTAAAAAAATTTAAAATTAGCACGAGATAAAATACATTATAAGGGGGTCGGTCATCGCTTCGGTAAAGACTTACCACAGCAGCAGCAACTTCAGCACGAATAATTAAGGATCTTTCCTGGATGTCTGACATTTCCTGGCGAAGAGTGGCCACCACCTCCACCATTCTCTCTACTTTCTCCACACGAGCTAGTAGCTCACGCACCTCGTTGCCTCGTTGGATCTCTACCGAACGAGCAAAGGAGTTCTTATTCTCCTATAGGCGGCGAGCCAATGATCCGAGAGATGTTCGGTGCCCATTAGCTGCTTTCTTGCATGTTTCGGGAGGATTGTTTGAGCAGTCGACCCTGTCGTCCTCGCTCGAGAGTCGACTGCCCTCGCCTGTCGCTTGTTCCGCTACCGTTGGGACTTTATTCGAATTCTTGTTGATGCCACCTAAGGCAGGAACCTCGCACAGGCCTCATAAAGACGAGTCATCTGCACTTAAGAGACGACATTAAGAAAAAAAAAAACTTCAGAAAAATCAAAATCTAATAAATAAGACCGAGACTCCACGTAACCAGGAGTCGATCCAACTTAGACGTCATAAATGACACATCACCTTTATTGTGTGACAGGAGAGCACCAACAGCCTCTTACGCGGTCTGTGTGGTCCGTGGGTGTTGCGCCACAACAAAAGAGTGGCGATTAGATTGATGATCATGTTGGGCCGCTAAGCATTCCTCCACTTATTGTCGATGAACGAATCAGGCGATCCCACCTGATTCGACAACGAGATTGCAATCATTTTTTTTCTTCTTAACGACACATTTCTCCTTTCCTTCACCTCCTGGGCGATCATGACATATCAATTTTCCGAAAGCAGCAAGGATAGGTCTTTGTTGGGGATATCACCCGAGGGGTTTGATATGATCTCCATCACAACACACAAAAGCTAAGCTGATTAAATGAGAGGAATCGCAGAGCAAACAAGGAGTAGGAGTCCCATCAGGTCAAATACACGAAAATCAAATGAATTCAATTATTGAGCCTTTAATTAAACAATAAATTAAATATAATTTTGTATTTAATTCTTTTGTTCTTATTGTACCGTTGCTTTTAAAAATTAAGAGAACTAATAAATTAAAATATATACATAAAAAATGTGTCAATGTTGATCCTGAGGAGTTCTGATTGTTCAGAAGAGATGAGTATTACAAAAGTGAGCCTGCTGACAGAAGATCATAAGGTATGCTTATGTGACGGAGTGAAGCTATCCAACCAAGACAATAAGGCCAAAGCCCACCGAACCACTAGACAAACCAAAGACGACTGAAGGATACAAGAGTGAGTTGCTCAGCTTGAAACAAGATAGAAGAGTATCTAAGACAACCACCACAGAAGAGCCGACCCGAGAGAAGATCTGACTCTCTAGCATCTCTAATCATCACAGAGACGCTCAAATGCTACTCATCGAGGGTCAAGGATCAACGGTCGGGCCATATCAACCAGTCGAATCATATTGACCAAGCTCAGCCGACCGAGCTAATCTTGCTAATTTGAATCCATTTAAGTTTAGCTAGCTGAGCCAGAGAGCTGCTAAATGATAAGCTCATACATATAAAATGCCAAAAATGCCCCAGTACGAATCCCTTAAAAGCAGGGATAAAAATATAACATCACAATATTGTACCGTCTCTTCTATAAATTGGGAAAGCATTTCTGAATAAGACATAACAAGATTACAATTCATTATCGTTCACTCGTCTCTCTCTTTATCTATCTCTTTCTCTTTATGCTCCATTTCTTGGGTGTGTTTCACCGA